ATTGTCCGTTTATGTTTCGACACACTGCGACTCGCAACAAATGTGGCCTTAGTTTAGAATGTTGTCGTCGAATTCGAAACACGGTTAGGGTCAACACTGGTGACGACCACTGCTTGAAAAAGACCCTTCGAAGGAAATATACAAATTTCGCCTCAGGCGCGAGGTAATTCACAGTGGTTGCAAAACTGTCGGGGTCTATCAAGTCCCCTGGGACACGTGGCTGTGGAAATTTTAATAAATTATATGACATCCATCACGGAAAGTAAATCCTGCTGTCCCGAAACCAATGTCTTTCAGTCCACCTTAAGAGCGAGGAGGCAGTAATATTGATATCTGATCCCCGAAGCCTGTCATAGTTCATTGCTATTCAATATATCGCAGAAGAAAATGATTACATCCACCTCAGTCTACTGCTGTGCCTGTGCGGAGGCCAGATGGGGCATCAGGAAGACCGGTGAAAGTAGACTTAATTGAAGTTATATTAGCCAGACGTTTACGTCAATGACGAACTTCGATCCTGCGTAGAACTCTGTCCGACAAACAAGCCTAAGCAAATCAAATATCAGATCTGTCGGGCACATTCGGCCGACTTGACGGCGTTTGAAGAAGTACTTGAAGTTTCCTAAAAAAATATCCTCTCGCTGATAACTAATGTGACTGTTATCAGGAATTTTTCACTTTTTGAGAGTTTTCGGTTAGTGTTACGTACATTGTCCAATGCACCATCGGTTGCGCCTTAGCTAGCCGTGCGTTTTCAAAACCATTAAGCTGCGTCCTTCTCGTTTGCTCTTCCCACTCACCATGTGAATCTGCCGAGTTCACGTTAGTGCCAAAGACAGCAAATGAGGGTATGTTGAAATGAAAGTACGCCGATTGTTCACGTGGTCTGGTTACTTCTAAGACCTTTCTGGTACATGGCATCCTCAAATGCTGTTTACATATAGACTGCCCTCTACTAGGTTTACAGATGTAGTGCTGCTTCCCCCATTCTGCCCCGCACTACCCAATTATTGACTTTGGCCGTTCTCCTTTGTTCTGCGGGAGCAGATGAGGAGTTGGGTACGTCTTGAGGTGATTTGAGCTAGTATTTTGTTCTTGTGCTTCTAGTTTAAATTCGGATTTCTCGAAAATGGCATGTGTGCAGTAACTGCTGGCCAACTTTCCAATAAAGTCTTGCATACTGGATCTCTTCCATTGCAATTGACAGGACGTGGGTACGTCTCTCAACATTCAGCTCAACTAGATCTGCGTTCCACCCTCTAATACCTCCTGTCTAGGATTGCTATAGATTATTAACGACAATCAACCAAAACAGAAATATTCCTACCAGTCAGCCAGAAATGTGTCCTCATGCGCCTAGCGGCTAATTGGCCACCTGGCCGCCTCTGTCCTTTACGCCTCGTGTGACCTCGGCTCCTTCATGCGCGCCCTTTGTTTGTAGGCGGACCGATTACGTGACCTGAGAGCTCGCCAAGGCAGTTCGTTAGGAATAATCCTAAAAAGTTGGGTTTGCGCCGTTAAAAACTCTGACTTCTAGGGGTTAAAGTTGTTTCCAGGCATTTCCTTTCCTAGCTGCAAGTGAAGATTCCACATCTGCTGACTCGCCAGTGATAACATGGTCACCGCAACCACTTCAACACCTACCAACTTGTGCAGTCCACAATGTCACCTCACATACACATAACGCAGCGACCTGATCGGTCACTTGCGAACCTGTCACAAAAACATTGAGGAAACAAGATTAGGAGCACCAACATACACCCTTCGCCCTCCACCTTAACTGCCGCACTGTTTGCATA